TTTTTTGTATATGTTACTGGTCTTTGAGCATCCTACTGCCATGCAAAATTTCAGCTCTTTGATCCTTACTATCGCTGATTTATCAGACTTACACTGTCAAAAAATCATATTTTACATGAAAATGTACTAAGAAAAGAGAAAAAATCTAATTAATAGTCAGTTTTGTACAGTTTGAAATGTTCTATGAAAATGATATATCTTGTGTGTATTTTTCTTCTTCTTTTTGCATTGATTCACCCCAAACACTTAATTACAGACACTTTGTCAGTTTTGTGTAGAATGGCCTTATCGTTGAATTTGCTTGGTCTGTGTGAAAGTGAAAGGAAAGCGAAGATAGGCGAAAGAAAGACAACTGAAATACTAATAAAATGATAAAAGAAAATTTATTACTTTTGAAAATTACTATGTGAATAACTCCTGAATGACTTGGTTATTTTCGCTCAAATTTTTACCAAAGATAAACTTCTCAGAGTTGTATGCTTAGTAAAAAATTCAGCCATGAGTCTCTTATCATTCTCGAGATATTTACATTACATATTATGCGCTGTCAAGAGACATTTTTCATTAAAACAACGTTTTTTATATGGCATATTTAGGCATAGAGTGTAATAAAATACACTGCGCAGACATTATTTAGATCTACTTTCAATTTTTTTTGTACCAATCATATCAATAAGTTGCAATTCATTTATATGTAGACAGATGCATACAAAGACATCAGAGAACGTGTCTTGAGGACTAAACAAGAATCTAAACAGAATAGATCCAAGAAGTTTGATTAGTATATATTTCAACAACATCCTTTTTAGATCGTGTTTCATAAAAATATTGAGACACTTATTCCTTATGGATTACTTGTTAGATTTGTTCAATTTAATTAGCTTACATTTTTTTTAGGAGATGCTTGTATTCCAAATCCTTGTTTGAATGGTGGAGCTTGTATACCAAATGGATTTGGTGGATTTACTTGTCAATGTCCACCAGGATTTAGTGGTCAAAGATGTGAAGATCGTAAGTTTTTCAATTATTTCTATGTTGCATGTTTTCTTTTATATCTTCGGCTTGTATAAGGTGATCCTTGTGCTTCTCAACCATGCATGAATCAAGGCAATTGTATACGAGATAATGGTGGTTTTCGCTGTGTTTGTCCATCAGGATATTCAGGAAGTCGATGTGAAATTCGTGA